GCGAAAAACCACCTGCTTTCGGCTCAAAAACGTCTCGAACGACTCGCCACCGCCAGTTCCTTCGGATTGCGTGTCTAATAATTCGTAACTAACGAATCATGGCTACGAGCAACAGTGCACGTTTACCGGATTTGCTCGCGTTAACACTACCAATAAATATTTCTGGAACGCGCAAACGTTACGTAACCACCGGCGAATAAATTGCGTCAGATGGACAACGATGAATCGAGAATAAATGTTCCATCGCGCATGTAATTTGAAGCGTTGCAACGCGTTTCCGCAATCGCGGAAACACTAACCAACCTTTTTTCGTTCTATGAGGTTAGGTTCTAACTGATTTCATTTTGCGATCAATTTCGCTTCTCCATGTGGCACGTTACGTTTCCCTTTCGTTCGCGATTCTTCAAGGAGAAAAAGGGAACGAGCAACATGGACGAATCCAAGTTGAACAGTAGTGACTAGGAAAGGACGAGAGAAAGATGGTGGAGAACGCGTAGTGGTGGTGGTCGTTGTGGCTGTGGTGGCTATAGAACGGAGCGATAGGCTGGTGGCAGAGGAGTGTAGCGGTGTGTGTATAAACTGATGGGCGGGTGGGCAAGAGGAGTGAGTGAGAGAGCTTGATCGTTGGGGGCAGAGAAGGGAGTATGGTGCAAGAGAAGCAGCTTTACGATTACGTCGGCGGCGACGACGGTGGTGGTGCTGCGCGCGCCAGAGAGAAACACGTTGGACGCAATAATACCGGGCCTCTATAAATAGCCGAGATTCGCGAGCCTCGCGAGGCAGGGCGCTGTCATCGCAAGCAGGCAAGCAAGCCAAGCAAACACGCAAGCAAGCAAGCGGTGCGAGCCAGCGCTCGCGACACCCACAGAGAATGCGAGATAATCGCAAAAGAGACGGTAGCGCGCGCGGCGCGCACACTTCTCTCCCGTTAGCTGTGACGTGCGCGCGCCCACTTTCGTCGTTGTCTGCTGCTCGTCGACTCTCGCCCTCCAGTGTCGAATCCTCGAGTTTCAAGTTTGATCGCGTTCGTTGTGTGTGTTCGCTGGTGCATAGAGTGATTAAACAGTGTTGCACAGTTGGGAGGAAATCCGCAGTTTCGTGTGTTCGGAGTTACGAGTGACGTACGCGCCCTTGGATACGCGCGTTTGAGAATCAATGACAATTTCCTCGAAGCAAAGGTGTACTTTCGTAACGCGTGGTCGCGCGCGACCGCGCATTCTCCTTTCCTTCCTTTTTCCATTCTTTTCCATCTATTCCTTCTGTTCAGTGTCCGTGACCCGACACTTGCTTTGTCTCTTGCACTTCCTCTTCCTCTTATGCTTTCCTTGGTCCTCCCCCCCCCCCTTCTTTCTTTTTTTGTTCGCTGGTGCATAGAGTGATTAAACAGTGTTGCACAGTTGGGAGGAAATCCGCAGTTTCGTGTGTTCGGAGTTACGAGTGACGTACGCGCCCTTGGATACGCGCGTTTGAGAATCAATGACAATTTCCTCGAAGCAAAGGTGTACTTTCGTAACGCGTGGTCGCGCGCGACCGCGCATTCTCCTTTCCTTCCTTTTTCCATTCTTTTCCATCTATTCCTTCTGTTCAGTGTCCGTGACCCGACACTTGCTTTGTCTCTTGCACTTCCTCTTCCTCTTATGCTTTCCTTGGTCCTCCCCCCCCCCCCTCTTTCTTCCTCTCTTCCTCCTCCTCGCTCGTCGTTTTGGAACCCTTCCTGCAGCATCTTCTCCCGACGTTTCAGTTTCCAGGGCACGATCGCTATTTAACCAGCGGTCAAGCTGCTCCTTCCAACTCGATACCCGAACGTCGCGTTCCGTGAGTATCGATTCGATCCGAGAAAAAGGTAAAAAGCATCAGCGGGAATCCTTGGAAAGAGACGCGAATCCGTGTCTCTGCTCGGTCGGACGTGCACGCTCGTATCCGCCATGTTTCTTCGTTCACTTCGTCTTCATCCCTAGATCCCCGACTGGGTGATCTAGTGGCTTTTTCTCCTTTCCGTTCCTTGTTCTCGCATATTTTGGCTTGGTCTCGCGATGTCTCGAGGGGAACTGGATCGCGTATCAAGCGTCGTGACACGAAACCCATTTTCAAATGAACCGCCGGACACCTGTTGTGCCTGCTGCTGGCCGGAACGACGCAAGTATCCGAGAGCACTGGTGCTTCGCGACGCATTCACATCACTCAGATCCTTTCTTCATTCCCTCTTCCTTGCTTCATCGCTACGTGTTTCCCTTTCGATCGTCATGGGTTCGAGTTTTCATTGGTGAATGGTCGCATCGCGTACAATAACGTTGCGTTAGAACGATAATTGACGATGCGGTGAGAGAAAGGACAAGTTCTTTAACGAGTTCGTAAACGTATCCATGCGCGCGTCGACCAGGCAGGAACAGGGGAACGAACTTCGACACAGGGTTACCGGATAACACGGGCACCTCGCCCGCGTGCGCACGCGAGACTCGCTATACCGCGTCACGCGTAGCACGTATGTGCACTCCACCTCGATTTGTCCTTTTCATGTAAATATGAATTTACGAACGCACCCTGCCCCCTGTTCTCCTCAATCCGATAACATTGCCTCTATTTACGCGAGTCGTCGTCCAGTCGAGTAGTATCGAACCGCTTTGCGCAAATTAGTGGAAGCAAACAGTCCTAGAGCTATATCGAGAAATGATTCATATCGTTCGATTCGTGAAATTCTTCTGATCGGCTATGTGGCGGACGGCTTGTCCTCGTCATCAACAACGGTAGAATCGAATGACCGCGATTCGCGAATCCGTCCCAACAAAGAGGAGAAACTGAAACATGGTGGTTGACGTCACTAGAATCATTCGCGCCACTTAAACGGAGTCACGGGATCAATTTAGAACGCGAACGGTCAAGTACCATCGTCCAATCGAGCATGTCGTTCCTCAACCTGCGGAACATCCCGTCACGTCGCCGCGACTCTTTTCACGGCCGCCGTGTGTGTACACACATGGTGGGTCGTTCGCTAACCAACCTCCTCTCGATTAAATCGATCTACGAGACGTGGTGCTTTTGTGCTTAGCCTACAAACGTTAGCTCTGATACCGCCTTCATTGCACTCCACCGGGGTCATTGGTCTTCCTTCCTCTTGGCCTCTCTCGCTTCGAGGAAATCGAGTCGCGTACACCCACGCGGGCACTGAACGCCGCGATTACGTTCTCCCGCGTTATTTCGCGTTGCGGGTTTCTTCATTACCGCTGTGACCAAAGTTCCTTCTACTCTGTCCACCTTCCTTTTCCCTATTATCGATCTTGAATCCCCCGTGATTATTTGTAGAAGGGCTGAGGAGCGGGAAGCGGATGATGGAATGTGAAATATATGAGGCGACGATCGCGTTAATGCGTCTCTCTCGTACCGCCGCACAGCGTAGTACTGGAGTACTCGAGCGTCGTCGAGGCGTCGCGCACGCTACCTGGCCATGCCATCCTCGCTCGTAATATGTATCGTTCGGGTCAATTAGGTACGTAACACGACACTTTTAAGTGGAAGCTTGGCAAATCTGGAAAGCAAGGGAACCTAGGCACGAACGAGGAGAAAAGTTACGTGCATGCGTAAGGCAGAAAGTTACCGGGGGGGGGGGGGGGGGGGGGGGGGGGGGG